CCCGTAGTCGAGGCAGCAGATTTCTCGGAGTACACAAGACACATGGAAGCTTATGGAGCGGAGGTGGGAGGGTGGGGGAGAGCTCATCTGAGGAAGAGAACGGCCAGAAGCCAAACAATCCTTAGTTCAAATTGTGGTTCTTTTGGTGGGGGGAGCTGGGAGAGTCTGGGCAGGCTCCAACCTCTTTGGACCTCACTTTGCGGTCCAAACTTTGCGGGGTTATAATGGGGATAAAATACTCTGGACCAAAGGGTATAGTACAGCAGGTTGCTCACTGCAGAAGGCTTTCAGTTAAGGGACCCTACAAAACACCCAGGAGTCACCCCCTTCCTCCTTGCCTCCTTGCCAGGTGGTAACACTCACCTGGCAGAGACATTAAGAAGACTACGTGCAGAAACCCAAGGTGGAAAGATACACCATTCATTCCTACCCTGGTTCAACTCCCAGAGATGCACTGATTCCCTCTAGTACTGCTGGTCCAGGGAGAGTGTTCCTCTTCCACTCCAGCTCCTCTGTTTCTGTCTCTCCAGGCAGCAACCCCCCGTCTTCTCCTCTCTCCCAGTCAGAGCTCATGGACACTCTGAGTAGCTAAGCTCTGGTCCCCCTGTCGACAGATTCCTCCCGAAGGCCGATCCTGACATTTGATAAAAGCCACCACTCTCAGTTTGGCTTCTGATGCTCATGTACTTCTTTCAGCTTTGCCCACCAATAATCTCCCTACCCCTGCCCACTTTGATCTGGTTTTTTGTTCCTGAAGAAACAGTGCTCTCCTCCCAATCTCCACCTCTCCTTGCTTCCCTCCAGAATCTACAACCATCAGGGATGCTTCCTGGGACCTAGGTTGCTCCTTCCAGTGTTTTAAGTTCCTGCTCAGAAGGGAGACCGCCCTGACCATTCGTATCAATTTTAAGTATCGACCCAGTCTTCTCATACCCCTCCCAACTCAGGGTTTAAGCTGCTTCTTGTTTGGCTGGGAGGGTAATATTTTAAGTGACATTTCTAAGAATACAATTTTAATTAAGATTCAATAGTCACTTCTCTGTCAGTAATCTTCCAGGCTGATTACTTAAAACATATTTACCCAGCTCTATTATGTCACAGATTTGAATTCATTAGACGTTTGCTAATCCTCCACAAACTTTTTTTTTAAAATGTGATTTGTTTAGCATGATTTACAAGGACAAAACTATTTAAAACAATGGGCCCTGTGCAGGGTATGCATCCCAACGTGCCTGGGTCTTCCCTGCTTATGGCCCCTGCCACAGTTGTCTGTCAGTGGCAGGCTGACAAGAGCGCATAGTAGGTCATCTTTCAGAACACTACTTTCCTCTATACACATACACATACATGCACGCATGCATATAGCCAACTCCAGCTTAACTAACCACAGGCACCCTTGGGTGTGCCTGTTCCTATGTCCTCAGTGGGTGTAGAGATACCACTCACCTCTACTTGAGCAGAGGAGGGGCCAAAGAAATATGGCCTCCCTGACTCTACTCCCATCGTGAGTAGTATTAGGAAGGACAGCCAATGGTTGGTGGACAATGCTCCTGAAGCTTCTGCTGTGACCGGGCCATTCTGTGAAGGTGATTTTATCAGCTGATTAATCAACAGAACTTCAGTGCCAATGCCAGGAACTCTCTTTGCTCAGGACTGTTCATTCATTCAATTGATATTTACTAGGCACTTAGTATGAGTCAGGCATGGTGCTGGGTACTGGGGATACAGTGATGGGTGGACAAGCCAGGTAAGTTCCCTGCCTTTTGGAATTTGCAGACTAAGAAGGCAGATGGGTAAGTAATTAAGAAAGTAATTAAGAAATTATAATTAAAAGTGTGATGATCAATATGTGGGTCAAGTACAGGGGGCTAAGAAGTAAATAGCAGGAGGGCCTCATTTGGTCTAGGTTTTGGAGAGGCTTCCTGAAGTAGGTGGTATTTAAACTGAGACCCAGAGATAGAACAGGAGCTTGGCTGGGCAGAAGTAGAGGTGGAGGAGAAGCCAGGATGAAAGCAGAGCATGTTGAAGTGCTGGAGGATGATCAAGCATGGATTGATAACAGAGAGGTTGAGTGTAGCTGGGACAGGGAGAGCAAAGGGAGACAGAGCAGTAAGAGATAAACTGGGCTAGTGGGCAGGACCAGCTCTTGCAAAGATGTGTTCTTGTGTTGAAAAAAATAATAAAAGGGTCAATGCAGATGGAGAAGATTCCTGTTTGTTTTATCAGGGCCCAGCTAAATGTGGACCCAGAATACATCTGGGCATGGAGACACTGGCAGGTGGAAAACTTGCACATGGGGATGCCTCTGGGATGGATGTTCTTGGTGGGATTGGGGTCAGGGTGGGCTGATACCCCTCAGGGCAAAGGTTGGTGAGAGCAAGAACTGACAAGGTGAGTGGCCACTCATGGGAGCCCAGAGCATAACTATGTGGAATTAGGCACGCTGGCAAAAGCTTTTAACTAAAATGATCATAATGAAGAAGATGAAAAGAAAAAAAAAAGAATCTTGTAGAAAAGCAGTCAGCAAGCTTTTTCTGTAAAGGGCAAAATAGCTAATATGTTAGGCTTTGTTAATCACATTGTATTTGCCGGAACTACTCAACTCTGCTTAAAAAAAGCCATAGACAACATGTAAATGAATGAGCATGGCCATGTTCTAAGAAAACTTTACTTATAAAAACAGGTGGAAGGCTGGATTTGGCCCTCAAGCTATAGTTAGCCAATACCTGCTCTAACAGCACTGGCCAGTAGTGTAGCCAACAGCCACATATGGCTAGCAAGCACTTGAAATGTGCTCTAAATGTTAAATACACACCTGATTTTGAAGATTTAGTACAAATAAAAGAATATTAATCATCTCATTAATAACTGTGCTGATTACATGTTGAAATCATATTTTAGATAGGGTGGCTTTCATGAAATATATTATCCAAATTGACTCATCTGTTTCTTTTTACTTTTAAAAAACATGGTCAGCAGAACATTTAAAATTACATTTATGACTCATATTATATTTCTATTGGACAGTGTTGTTCAGAAACAACACACTCTGTAGATAAAATACAGGGTAAGTCTCTGGCCCTGAAGGCTCTCAGGTGAAATATTTAGCCTTAGAAAGACACAGTAATGGAATTTAAACCTTCACAATAAAGTAGCATCTGATTGGAATAGGTTTTTAAATTTACAATATATCTTTGTTTTATTAGCTAGTTATTTTGTCTGCATCTATGCTCCTCAAAGTGAGGGCTATGGAGTTCTACTTCCTCAAGATATTAATAGCTGTTGCTCAGAAAAAATGAGTATCTTTAGCCAAAACAGAAAAAGGGAGCAATGCAGAATTAAACATTAATCCAGTTTCCCTACTGCAGAATTTCTCAACCCTTCTGAACTTGCTAAGCATACAGAGCTTCTGAGAGAGAGAGAGTGAGGACAGGCAGTGCTTCCCCAACTCACTGGCCTTAGGAGCCTTTCTTGCGGAGCTCCAAATAGCACTCCTAGAAGGCAATTTGACAGCTGCTGGTCTGCGTGATGCTACACAACCAGAGTGCATTATTTTCCCAAAGTTCAGTTCAATTGATGTAATCCTTAGTAGTTCATAAATAGAGCTATGGTCAGTACAACATGGATAGTGAGAAAACTGTCAGATTTGGAGGCACAAGGACCTGAGCTACAGTCCCATTCCTTCCTTTTCTGGGTATTCATTCATGCAAAATCACTGTGTGTCAGGAGGTGTTTTAGGCTTTGAGGATACGATGGTGAGAGAAAACATGTTCCAACATTTTGAGGCTTTGTTGCCAGTGCAGAGGACAAGGACTAGGGTACAAAGTACAGCATAGAGAATGTAATCAATAATATTGTAATAAATATGTAGTGTCAGGTGGGTTCTAGATTTATCAGGGGGATCACTTTGTAAGGGATATAAATCCCAAATAACTATGGTGTACACCTGAAAGTAATATAATATTGTTATATGTCAACTCTAATTGAAAGATAAAATTTTAAAAATTTAAAAATACAAACAATAAGTAAGATAAATAGGTAAACTATATACAGTAAGTTAGATAGTGGTACATTTCAAGGAGAAAACACAAAGCAGAAAAGAGGGGTATGCATAGTCCCTGTGGTGAGACCCTGTGGTGGGTCTGGGTGAGAAGGGGACTTTGAATAAAGACCTGGAGGAGGTTAATAGGCCATGGACAAGTCCTCACCTATATATGTGTACATAGATAAGCCTTTCCTTGTGAAAGGTGTTCCTGACGCTCAGATGAGATGATGGATTTAAATTCCAGGCAGAGGATTGAGCACATGCCAAGTGCTCAGAAGTTCATGTCCCACCACCTTCGTGACTTCCCTGAACTCCCAAAGATGTATCTACTATATGGATTCTCCATGGTGAAGAATTTATCTGAAGCCGTTTCCCCACCAACCTTGGTGTCTTTCAGGGTCAATTCTTTCTTTGTCCACATCCTTGTTCTTAAGGAACTCTGGTTCAATTTAATTTCATGCCAAGTCTAAACCAATTAAGAAAGTAAAACTGCTTAAAGTACAGTCATAACACACTTTTAAAGTCCAATGATCACAAATAAACCACCGGTATGGAGTTATCCATCCATCCATCCATCTATCCAGCATACATGTATTGAGTACCTACTGTGTTCCAGGCACTGTGCTAGATGCATGGGATACAGCAATTATCAAAATAGGCAAAGGGACCTGCCCTCCTGGAGCTGACATCCTAGTGAGAAGAGAGAACGCATTCCATAACCATAATTAATAAGTAAATTTAATAGTCTGTTAGAAGGTAATAAGGGCTAAGGAAAAAAGAAAAAGTAGACCTGTATTATAGGGATTGGTAGAAGAGGTTACACTTCACAATGATCAGATGCCTCATGGCTGCTCCCCAAGGCATTGGTGAGTGTGAGGGAGGAAGCTCTGGACAGGGAGTTAGGAAGCCCCCTCCTGACCTTGACCTTGTATCCTTCTCTTCCAGGCACCACAGCCTGAGTGACCAGACCATGGAGACTCTCCTTGGTAGCCTGTTGGCATTTGGCATGGCGTTTGCCGTGGTTGACGCCTGTCCCAAGTACTGTGTCTGCCAGAATCTGTCTGAGTCACTGGGAACCTTGTGCCCCTCCAAGGGGCTGCTCTTTGTACCCCCTGACATTGACCGGAGGACGGTGGAGCTGCGTCTGGGTGGTAACTTCATCATCCACATAGGCCGCCAGGACTTTGCCAACATGACAGGGCTGGTGGACCTAACCCTGTCCAGGAACACCATCAGCCACATCCAGCCCTTCTCCTTCCTGGACCTCGAGAGCCTCCGCTCCCTGCACCTCGACAGCAACCGGCTCCCCAGCCTCGGGGAGGACACCCTACGTGGCCTGGTGAACCTGCAGCACCTCATTGTGAACAACAACCAGCTGGGTGGCATCGCCGATGATGCCTTTGAGGACTTCCTGCTGACGCTGGAGGACCTGGACCTCTCCTACAACAACCTGCATGGCCTGCCCTGGGGCTCCGTGCGGCGCATGGTCAACCTGCACCAGCTGAGCCTGGACCACAACCTGTTGGACCACATTGCTGAGGGCACTTTTGCCGACCTGCAGAAACTGGCCCGCCTGGACCTCACCTCCAACCGGCTCCAGAAGCTACCCCCAGACCCCATCTTTGCCCGCTCCCAGGCCTCTGCTCTAACTGCCACACCCTTTGCTCCACCCTTGTCCTTTAGTTTTGGGGGGAACCCATTGCACTGCAACTGCGAGCTTCTCTGGCTGCGGCGACTAGAGCGGGATGATGACCTGGAGACCTGTGGCTCCCCTGGGGGCCTCAAAGGCCGCTACTTCTGGCATGTGCGTGAGGAAGAGTTTGTGTGCGAGCCACCTCTCATCACCCAGCACACGCACAAGCTGCTGGTTCTGGAGGGCCAGGCAGCCACCCTCAAGTGCAAGGCTATTGGGGACCCCAACCCCCTCATCCACTGGGTGGCCCCAGATGACCGCCTGGTGGGGAACTCTTCAAGGACCGCGGTGTACAACAACGGCACCCTGGACATCCTCATAACCACATCTCAGGATAGTGGTGCCTTCACCTGCATTGCTGCCAACGCTGCTGGGGAGGCCACGGCCACTGTGGAGGTCTCCATTGTCCAGTTGCCACACCTCAGCAACAGCACCAGCCGCACAGCACCCCCCAAGTCCCGCCTCTCAGACATCACTGGCTCCAGCAAGACCAGCAGGGGAGGGGGAGGCAGCGATGGTGGGGAGCCTCCCAAAAGCCCTCCAGAACGGGCTGTCCTTGTGTCCGATGTGACCACCACCTCGGCCCTGGTCAAGTGGTCGGTCAGCAAGTCAGCACCCCGGGTGAAGATGTATCAGCTGCAATACAACTGCTCCGACGATGAGGTACTGATTTACAGGTGAGCTGGGGCCGTGCTAAGACAGGGAGGAGTCTGGCTGGGGAAACAGGAGATGATGGGAGGGCTTTGAGCTGTTGCCACCTAAGGCCCTGCTCCCCAAAGGTGCCTGTAAGAATCCTGGGGCAAGCCATGCCATTCATGAAAGTTATAGGAGATAGAAAGAACATCTACTGGTTTAAGAATAGAGGAACCCACATGGGCAGCCTGAGAAGGTGTGTATGTAGGAGGACCAGGCCCCCAGGGGTGAGGCTGTGGTAGGTGGTCATGTGAGTATGAGCCGTAGAACTCCTGTCTTGAGCCACAGCTAGAGGATATACAAGAACAATGAGTAGACCTCTTGGCCAAAGTGTCTGACTCCTCCAAGGAGGAGTGAATCTGGCCTTCACATGGAAACAGATGCAGTTGTGATTAAGCCTTTCAGATGAGAAAGAGTAGAATTCAGATCATGGCTTGGCCACTTGCTAGTTATGTAATTCTCCTGGGCTGCCTCAGTTTTCCTCATCCAGAAAATATAGGTAATTGATATATAACTTAGTCTGGACACTTGGTTTCAGGTATTTGAACACAAGTCATACTGGCTTTAAAAAGAAAGGAAGTTATAACATATTTGTTTGTGTAATTGAAAACTCAAAGACCTGCTTCAGGCTCAGCTAGATCAAAAGCCCCACAAACATCCTGCATTCTCAGAGTTTCTTACCTTCCCTGAGCTCCATTTTCTTCTGGGTTGGTTTCAGCCCCTGGCAGCCTCTTTACCCTAAGCAGCCCTAGCAGGAGAAACGTGTCTCTTTCCAAATTTGTCCTACTGGAGTCTGGGATGAGCTTCAATTAGCTAGAGAGGTCATGTGAACTGGATTTTAGAAGTGGACAGGGTCATCCTGTCTACCTGTACTGACCTTTCTGGGTGTCAGTCTCCTTACCTGGAAATGGAGATATTGATGTTGACCTTGTAAATTTGCTATGAGAATCTAGGGGCCATTTTCTAGGCATAGTAGCAAGGGAGGTTTAAGACAGAAAAACTGCAGCAAAATTGCTTAAGTCATTCAGATAGAAGGAGGAGCTCACAGAGTGATGAAAGCATACAGGCCAGGGGCCCAAGAGGTCTGACCCCACATGAGTTTCCTCAGGTAGCCTCAGTTTGTGTTAAATATGAGGGACATGACTTAGAATCTTCCTGTTCAAAGAACGTAGTTTCTTTTGAAATTCTATGTTTCTTTTATGCATGTGAAATGATTATTTTGAGAAGGGATCTTGTAGACTTCACCCACAGCCAAAGTGTCCATAGGTCAAGCAAGGTCAAGAACTCTCGATCTATCATTGAGGTTTCTTACAGCTCTGACCTCCTTAGTTGGTGAGCCTCATGTGGGAAAGTGTGGGAGAAAAGCAGGGGAAGTTCCCTTACCTGAAATATGCTTATGTGGAATTTCCTTTACTTGGTTTATCTGGAGAACAGCTTCATTTCTTGGGTTGGAGAAAGCAGCATTAGAACTTAAACATATGCACATATACATGTGTAGAAAGATAGAGATATAGAGATATAATTAAATTTAAATATACATATATATTTTCTAATTATAAAAGTAATAGTCTTTGTAGCAAATTTGGAAAATAGAGAAAAAAGGTAAAGAGGGAAATAAAAATTACCTGTAACCCCACTGCTCAAAACTATCCAGAGGCCTTTAGCCTCAACCATTTTATTTCAATTCAAAACAATAGTTGTGATCATTCTAGTGTGTATTTTTGTTTCTTAATTTCTCCACTCAACATTATATCTTGCTTAGTTCCTATGGTGTTAACATATTTTTCATTTGGCTGTACCAGAATTTATTTAACCAATCTTCTATTGTTGGACATTTAGGTTGTTTACCATTTTTTTAATATTAAAAGTAATGCTGTGATGAATATCTTTATACATAAATTTATTTGTGCAGCTTCTATGATTTTCTTAGCATATTTTCCTATGAATAGAATTACTGGGTTAACAAGCTAAGTATAACCTTCATATATTGCATATGAATATTTATTTACTCTCTCACCAGTGGAAGGTGACAGTGCCCACTTTGACCACACTTTCGCCAATTATTGAATATATAATGACTTACATCTTGCCGGCTTTATAGATGAAAATGGAACTTATTTATTTTGCATTTCTTTGATAACTTATAAGATTGACCTTTTAAAAATATGTATATTTCTTCACTTGTGAATTTATTATATGGTCTTGACTTTGATAAAAAGTGTGAAGGTGAAAAGCTACGACTCCTGAGGCTTGTACAGGTCAAGGAAGAAGGGAACTGAAGTTTAGGGGGGTCATGGGTATAAGGGTGACAACATGCTGGGGTTGCCAAAATGGCAGCCTCCCAGGGGTCCTAGAGAGTCTGGGAGGGTCACCAGAGGTGTTGGGGCTATGGTCCTGAAGTCAATCAAGGTCCTGGGGACACTAGGTTTATAAATATAAATAAAATGGAAGTACCAGAGGTCTTGGAATTTTAAAAAAAGATGCTGAGTTCCTCTTAGAGCTTCATGAGGGTTAATAGAGACACAGCATGGAAAGCTCTCCAAATAGCGTGGGCGCATAGGAAGTGTTCAAGGAACACAAATTATTTGATTGTTGGTACTGCTAGTAGTAATGGGAATGGTGAGAGTAAGACCATTATCTTGTTTGCCAACCTGGTGAAGGAAATGGAAGAGGAAGATTAGATACACAATACAGGCTTTAAATAAACAGACTTCCAAAATTTTTGAGCAAAGGTCAAGGTGCTGTGTATGTAGCAATCACTAGCCAACACTATTGCCCTCTAATGTGTGTGTGATATGTAGCTCTATGGGCAATATCTCATTTAATTCTCCTGGACATACCAAGAAGTACAGAGGCTGAGAGAATGAAACGACTCTCCATGTTTGCGCGGCCAGAAGGAAGCAGGCCTGAAAGAGCCCAGGCCTTCTGGCTTCAGACTCCGCCACGGTGGCCATGCTTCCCTGCCCGCGACTCTGGCTCCAGAGAAACAGGAGACTCGAAGAAAGAAACCATACATTTTTAGAAAGAAATTTTCCCCCTAAGGAAGAAAAGACACAAGCAGCTGCACAGTGGCTCTCTGATATGCTCTGACTTTGACAGGAAAGTGTACGAAAGAAGGAAAGAAAGGCTTGTATCCAAAGATGAATATTAAAGAGGAGCACACATTGTACAGAGAGAGCTAAAGCAGCCAACAATGGCTTTTAATCCATGTTCAGAGGAAGAAGCATAAAATGACAAAGATCTGTTCTTTGAGAACAGGGTTGCAGGAGCCTAGACAAAGTCAGCAGGCAAAACCAAGCAGTTTCCAATATGCCTCCACCCTCCCCAGAAAGAACAATAGCAACCACATAGTCAGTCCTCACTCAGCACCATCCGTAGGTTCTGTGACTTCGAGCAATACAACATATAGCCAAACCAATTTCACCTTAGGCATGATACATATACACAAGTTAAGTTCCTTCAGCATCTTTCAATATTATAATGAAAAGACACTGTTATTGAAGGACCTGTTTAAACGTACAAGTCTGCATTGAGAGCTTATTTGCACTGGGAACTCTTCTAAAGGCTTTATGCATAACTCATTTAGTTTTCTTAAAACCCCAGGTGGCTAGACTGCACTTATTCCACATTTTATATAAGAAACTTGCCTGAGGTGTTACATGGGGGGCAGGGTAAGTAGCAGAGACAGAATTTGAATCCAGGCAACCTGGGAAGGACAAGGCCAATACAATGGAAAGGAAACAGTAGCTCAGCAGAGATGCATCACACTGCCAGGCTGGTCTGCAGGCCCCAGGGGTCACTTACAGGTCTAAAGTAACACTAGATGAGGTTCCCAAGCCTGGGGAGTGATCCTGAGACAACATGGACAGAAAGGGAAGTGCCTAAGATGGGAAATGGCAGATACTCTACTTTTCAAAGAACAGACCCAGAAAATCATAGGATGCTAGCCTGGACATGGGCATTCCATATTCTAAGAAGAATTTTTCAACAGATGGCTGTAAGCCCCTGGAAAAGAATGCTGATTACTGGGATCTGACATGGGTTCACCAAAAGCAAATCCTTCCAAGTTATTGATCTGTCTTCAGGGGATACTGTAACAGTAGTTCCCAACCTCTTAATCTGCCTCCTTGTTATTCAGGAGGGCAATACTCCTCAGGGACATCCCTCCTTGCACTGTGATTCTCCACTAGGCCCCATCTCCATGAGTCACCATAGGAAGTTAACTGGAACATCTGGGGTGATAAGGACACTTGGAAAATATCCTAGGAGTTTCCAATGGCTGTGACTCCCTGCCATAAACAGAGCACATCACAATCGTATGGGGCACTTGAAAAAATCTCAAACTGAGTTTGGAACAAAATGGAGAAATGGAAACTGGTAAAGTGGACTTAGAACTGGCCAATAACCAGACTGATTAATAAGTTGATGTGAACCTGCAGGAGAGCCTCTGCCTTGTGCCTCCACACCTGCTTCCATCACCATACTGCTCAGTGTATTTTCTTATTGACATGGATAACAACACAGAAAATGTGTCTTCCTTTTGGCTCAAGGATTCAATTGCATGAGTTCAAGGTGAGGAAAATCTGGCTCCACTGGAATTTTGTGTGGTGTAGGCTTAGAGTTTTAGTCAATCTCAAAGACATCATGGCCACAAATTGATGGAGCTGATAAAAGACTCCTATAGTTTTCAGTTGTGTTAACAGAAGTAAAGTGCTCAGATCGTGCATGGGAGTTTACAATTCTAATCACTGAATCATTCACGCTGGTCAGAACAGAGCTGTAATATGTTTAATACAGATAATGCAGTCTTAAGAGTCATTTTTTACCAACTGCACTGTATCCAGTGATCAAGTGATGAGAATGTGGTTCTGGAAGTTTATACATGATAGGCAAAGGTTACCTTGGAGATGACAGGACTTAGAAAAGAAATCATAGCTCCCTTAACTTATTCAAAGAACTTCCATGAGTAGAAGAGAAGACACAC